CGTCAGGACATCCATGCCCCAGCAGCAGCTTGTGCCAGACGGGACGCGCCAGTGACAAGAGCCACTTGGAAGCCTGTGTGAGGGATTGGTATGATGGAGGCATTCGGCCAACCCAATTGAAGTTGGCTAGAGCCCATTTTGGCATGCGCGGTCTCTTTCCACACAAATCACTCTTGCAGTCGAGGCACATCCATACCTTTTGGCGTTCGTCGCCAATTCCTGCTACTTTCCACGATTTGCTAGACAGCTCGGCCAACCTTGCGTCTTGCTCAGCAGTGGCAGCCTCATCTATCGGCTGAGTTCTTGCTGCAACTGGACCAGCTTCCCCGTTCTTAACAGGCACCCGCCTTGTGTGAAGTAACCAAGCGAAGTTTGGATATATGGGATGCTGGACTGAGGATGCAAATAATTCTTGCGGTGGAATCATGGGCCATGCTTGCGCATAGTTCCAAGCGCTCAGGAGTTTATCAACTCCGTGTGGGTTTTGCACAGTGCAGCTGGCACGCGCCGGGCGATAGCCCACATCCTCGTCTGAAGAACCAGCACTGGTTCTGCTGTCGCTATCACTGTCGCCCACTTCTGCGTCTGCTTGCTCCAGCCCCTGTCCCCAAAGCTGGACTTGATAGCGATGCTCGATCCAATCCAGACGTGCGCGCACCACACAGGCTTCTTCTCTGCGTTGGACCATGTGATGCGGGGAGTGCTGCACCCAGTCGTTGCAGCCCGCGGAAGCTATGCTACAACACTGGAATTGCGCAAAAGACTGGCACATGTTGCGCTTCTCCTGCGCACTGACAGGCCTGGGGCCTGACGTGAGCGCGCGATGCAGCAAGCGTTTGGCATATTCAGCATAGTTCCCATGTCTTTCACTTGCATGTCTTGCCAAGGCTTGAACTGACAGGAAGCCCGAACCGCACAACTGGCACACCACTGGCGCTGACACTAAAGGCTCCTGAGCCCAGACACTGTCATAATGGTCGTCTCCTACATCTGAGGCCGGCGCGTACGCATCCAACACGCGAGCGCTCCACCTCCAACCAGGAATTTGCTCCCACATGCGTCTGCGCTGAACGACTGCAGGCGTGGGTTCAGCTGCAGATAGCTCGCGTCGAAACCTTTGCCATCGTTGGCGCAGGCCTGGACACAAATGTTTATCCATGGGCAAAGAACCATTCAGCTGCACAAACTCCAGCAATTGGCGCACTATCTGTTCCTCCCTGCTGGGAGCATCCGCGTGAATGGACAAGCCAGCAGCCTCAGCGTGCCTATCGTGCGCCCACGCTGTGGACTGCCTGCGAACTGCTGCCCAGATCTTCGACACTAGCTGGCTTCTGGAACACGTTTCCGCAGCCAAGGTTTCCCGGGAATGAGCAACGGCTTCGTTGACAAGGCGCACACATTCATCCCGCATTTCCGCTTTTGAAGGTCTTGTTTGAAATCGCACATGTTTTTCAGCGCATCTGCGTTGCAAAGCTCGCCGTGACTCTCCTTCAAGAGTTCTGAGTAATGTGGCTGTTGCAGAGTCCACCTGCTGGGCTGCCGATGTCACGATGTGATGCGTGTGTCCTCCGCTGCTCTGGAATATGGCCCTGGCTCCGCTCTGCATGTTGCGCAACTTGCGCAACTCTTCAACCAAATCTTTCTTTCTCCTCATCCTCCTACCTGGTTGAATCTGGCCACCGCTTTCTTGCGCTAACATCGTTTGCAACTGGTCGACCGACAGGCTGCCCAGCTCATCCTCATCTTGCGCTTGGCCGGACATTGCTTCTAAAGCAGCTTTGCAAGCTTGCTGGAGAACAATAATTGGCTTATCCTCACCTCCTTCAGCACGGTCCTGAATGCCAAGCCTGGCGGCAATGCTGCGCAACCGGGCTCTGTTGTCCGATGTTGCAAAAGAATCGGCGCACACAAACTCTAGGTCATTCTGCTCTTTTGCTGCCCTGCCTTGCGCAGCCTCGTCACTCTGAGCTCGCTCATAAGAAACCTCTGAGGATGCCCCCGCGCCTGCGCAAGA